CGGATATTTTGATACAAAACTCAGACTCACTCTTGACCGGTTTTTGATTATAAAATACATATGACAACGCACAAAGTACTCGTTACACTGGACTTTACGTGTGTTATCACACATAAAGTCCAGTGTGACAAGTAGGGTTGCCATCTCAGGAAATATAACGTATTTTATTTAAAGTTGGAAAAAATATTTGAGAATAAGATATAACCTATTTTTACTTGTATACAATATCTTTTTCTAACTATATATTCGTAATGTTATAGATGCAAAATTGTGTCTGTATGTCTGTGTTATATTGTGTACCTTTTATGTTAAAAAAGCTTACGAAGTCGTAGTTTATTAAATAAATAATGTTATAATAATTCAGTACATTGTTTTTATTTGAATCTGGCCTGGCCTACACTTTTTAAATGTGATATATTACATATAGAATGTGTACACAATATAATAGTATATTTAATAATAATAGGCCCTCTGCACTATTCAATAATATATGGCCAAATAATAAATAATATATGATCTACAAAATTGAGTTTGATACCTCTGTTATATAACATCAAGTTACCACCAAAAGAAGCAGAAGTACAATTAAAAATTCTGTAAAAGTAGAGAAAATGTAGCGCAGACAATATCGCGCGGGTCTATTCTAAACTCCGTTCTAATAAAAAAGTATAGCACGGCTGGCAACCCTGCGATATCCACGAAGATGTACATTCTATTGTGTAAACGAGATATTGTTATCTCAATCCACACACGCCTTGAACTTGGTGCCTCTACAATTGCCCTTGACCGTGAACTATATGATTATTACACTATCAAATAGATCACTATTATAAAACAATCAATTTATTATGTTTGTTTACATACTTAATTTACAAAGTTAGTTAAAATTACGGAATCCAACTTAAAAGTTTATATGAGAACGTCTGTCTGTCGGTATTTGTGTTTGTGATTTTCATTGCTTTCTTGATTTAATTGATTGATTTTAGAAATATGAAAGCGTAGCGGTTTTTGTATTAATTGCCGCATGCATTCTTATGTAAAATGTGAATACTATAACTATCAGATGGCAATTGTGAGTAGCTTTGACGTGGTCTAGTGTTTTGAGTAGTCATGCTCACTAAAATGTCCAGACTTGTGGCGGCGTGGTAGGCCGGGTCATTGGGCTCCCTAAAATATGGTCGAGCGCAGTGATGGCTGGCTCATCCGTCATACTCGTGAACGGGTGCTGCTTGTAGGGACTGGTCTGCTCTAATCACTATGACTGATTTCCTCTTATTAATTGTTTAACCAGTTGGTTATGTATTCAATATTTTTTCTTTTTGAGTATTTAATTGAATTAGTGCTAATTGGTGGTTTGTATTCACACACTTAAACTTAAAAATGTAAAGTAATAATAAAATTATTTAAAAGAGCAACACGCAAGTTTCTTGCTCGTTCTTCTTGTGATGAGACAGCTTTCCGAACGAGCGGTAGATTAGAAAATGTGGTGACTATTCAAAAGTGCTTCAATGTAAGTTTATTTGAATAAATGATTTTCTATTCTATTCTATTCATATTCAAAATTCAAAAATCATTTATTCAAGAAGGACATTTTAGCCGCTTATGAACGCCAAGTTTTAACATTATAATTTTTTTTCCCTACCGACCTCTATATAATATATAATCCCTCTATGATTGAGTCCAATGGTGGCTGGCTTATCCGTCTTACTCATGAACAGGTGCTGCTTGTGGGGACTGGTCTCTTCGGGTTACGAACACTGATTAGACTTTTTGCTTTTGCAATAGGATATGCTGGTGGTCACTCTATTCTCCTAAATTTGAATTTAAATGAATCTGTATTATTTTAATTGTAAACATGCACAACATTTATTTGAAAACAATACGAGCTAATTTCTTGTCAGTTCTTCTCATCTCGAAATCATTCTGACTGACTGTAGGTTTGACATATCATAAGAGTCTGTAATAGACATACATGAATAAAGATATTTTGAATTAAAAAAAATATATATCTTAATGAAGTTGGGCTTGTAGATAGACTGTATCACGGATGTAGGATATCGTTTGAATCACAAAGTTACAGATTGCCATAATAAGATATGCATTATACAATATAATCAAACAATCTTAAGATTTCGAGGAGGTTGCCGTGGAGATCCAATCTTATTACAAACAAATCCCCGATTTACGTGCATTTAATAAGCGATAAATTCATCAATTGCCAATGAATTTTCAATTATTCTTTTTATAATCTACTAGATGTGCCCGCGACTTCGTCCGCGTAAATCGATACTTCCATGTACCATTTCATCTCCCGTTTCAACCCCTTACAACCCCTTTTACCGGATTAAAAAGTAGCCTTTGTCTTTTGTCAGGTTCTAGACTATATGTGTAAATGTCATTTAAATCTGTTCTATAGTTTTGGCGTGAAAGCGAGGCAGACAGATAGACAGACAGAGTTACTTTCGCATTTATAATATTAGTAATGATAGGTTTAATTTACTAGTATGTTTTGGAAGATAGGTTTTGTATATATTTTATCTAAATAAATATTATTTTGCCGGAAGTCCATTATTAATTCTGCTACAATTAGCATGCAACCGCAATATTCAGTGACACTGGAAATGATATGACCTTCCCTATTAGTAAAATTAGTGATTATTTAAAAGAGAATAATATATATATTTTTTAATTACTACCATGGTGACAAACAAGCATACGGCCCATCTGATGGTGAATGGTTACCGTAGCCTATGGACGCCTGAAACACCAGGAGTGTAAAGTGCGCGTTGCCGACCTTTAAGAAACCTTAATATACCCTTCTTGAAAAACCCCATGTTGTAGTCTCGTGAGAAAACTTCGGCAAGTAGTTCATTCCACAATCTCACTTAGATTGATACCTCTATACGCGGGAGGAAGCTCCTCTGAAACTGCACTGTCCGAGACCACTTAGGTTCTGGCGTGTGGGGATGAATTCCCTGTAGATGGCGAGCGGTGCGATGGTAAAAAGTAGCCGTAGGCATCATGTCGAACAATTCCTCAGAACACAGTGTTATATATTCGGTAGAACACAAAAAGAGAAGCAGTCTCATATGTTATCTCTGTAAGTCTAATATGTTATCTGTTGGCGCTATACAGCTGTAACAAAGTCCGAAATAGACTTCCGAATCACGATTGCAGTACCTTGGCAAAGGCAAATGCTAGATTTAGCGATCGAACTACCCGATAAAGTCGGTCAAGAGCATAAAGATTGAATTAGACTGTCGGCCCCGAGGCCGACAGGCCGATGGTCTAACGGTTACTTCCGATGGTCGTGGGTTCAATACCTCGCACTGTAAATTAATAATAATAATAATCTCAGGACAATTCGCAGCGCAATCTATACCCAAGTTAAGTTAGCTAAAGCTTGTGTTATGTGTACTAGATAACTGATACATATACATACATAGTTTTTTTTTTAAATACATATATATTATACATAGAAAAACACCCAGACCGATACAAACAATCATACTCATGAATACAAATGTTTGTGCCGTGCGGGGAATCGAACCCGCGACCATCGGTCGTAAAGCGGTGTGCTAGATCGCTCGTCAAATTTTGTATTCATGGGTATTATTGTTTATATAGGTCTGAGTGTTTGCTATGTATATTATGTTGGGATGTTTGAGATTTAGATGGCGCTGTATGAATTGTTCTCTGATATTATTATTATATAATATTATAAATAATAAACTTGTATCTAACATCGATCGGAATACACTTTACTTAATTATAAATTATTTTATACTAGCTACTCACACCGGCTTCGCACGGGTGTACATGTATTATACATATAAACCTTCCTCTTGAATCACTGTATGTATTAAAAAACAGCTTAATATCCGTTGCGTAGTTTTAAGCATACATAGGGACGGACAGACAGCAACGGCGACTTTGTTTTATAATATAAAGATTCACTTTACTTAATAAATATTTTGTATTTTTGGGTCTTCCCTCAGCGACTTTAATAACTTGTACCTAAAACGAAAAATAAAACATCTATATGGTGGTATCTAGTGTTTTATTAGTAAAGTATGAATACATTTTTAGATGGCGTATTGATATTATTAAAAAAAAATATTTTTATCATCCCTTACTTTCTCAGTTTTTTTGTGAAAATTTCATCCTAATTCTTCCAGCTGCTTTTCGAGATAGGTTAACACAAATATAACGAAGAGACGCTTTTCGCCTCGTCATGGGTTTACAATATATTTAATATTATATAAAAAAATTGTTGTATAGTATTCATAACACCATCTCTGCTTAGCTTGGGACTAGATGACGCCGAGTGAATTGTCCTTCATTCATAATTAAAGAGGCACATTCTTGTCGGTGGAGCTCTTGCCTATTTTCCCACAATTTTTCATTAATTTCTTTAGTTATTGATACGAAATAACCTTTTCAATTGTCCTAGTTTATTGTTATTATATTTTTATGGTGTTTTACATTATGATCATCTTTCAATACAGCGGTTGTGTTATTTATTTATTTATTCTTTTGCACACAAAAATGTATACATGGCGGACTTAATGCCTGATGGCATTCTCTACCAGTCAACCGTCGCGTTGATCAGAGATAATAAGGCGGTGCACTTTAATAATTAATTGAAAGAAAAAAAAGAAAAAGAAAAATTATAACAAATAGATACATAAAAATAATACATATATATACAGATGCAAATATATAAAAATACTAATATACCATTGTAAGCTAGTATTGAGAGTGAGACACAGTAGACATTTGCTAATTTCATTGGGGCCCACAGCAAGCAGCGCCATCATAGTTTGTTACTATAGCTGGAATCTTATTAATATTTTAATCGCGAAAGTTAGTGAGTATGGTTGTTATTCTTTCACGCACAAATCACTGAACGGATTTTAAATTATCTATAGCTTATACATCAGAATTTCACGCGAGCAAAACTGCTGGCACAGCTAGTAATTAATATATTTGTGTTGCAGGTTCTGCAGTAATCACGGGAACAAGTGCCCTCGCCCGGGGACGGCGCCGGCCGAGCTGATGTGCGTCGCGGAAGCAATGATGCCCCGACTCATACTGCGGCTACTTCAGCATTTCAGGGAGAACAGGTAACTATGATCTAATAATAATAATAAACAATCCCGGACAATTAACACAGCGCCATCATAACAGAGCTTGTGTTGTGTTGTGTGTTATGGGTACTAGGCAACTGATATATATATAAATACTTAGATATATATTTATTTGTAAATACATACATAATATACATAGAAAATACCCAGACCGTACAAACAATCATAAATAAAAATGTTTGCACCGTACGAGGAATCGAACCCGCGATCATTGGAAGTAAAGCGGTGAACTAAACCGCTAGACCACCGAGGATATTATTAAAACTATAAATAAAACATGATGTAATTACATCTTATACAGATGGGCCGTGTACTTGTTTGCCACCTATGTGGTATAAAAAAATCTTGCAACTTTAAATGAAATGAAATTAAAAAACAATTATTCACGTAGGACATTAGAACCACTTGTGAACGTCAAGTTTTTTTTATTCAAATTTTTTCCCAACCGTCCACACTTTAACAGGTTCACTTCTAATATTATACATGCCAGTGTGTTTGTTTGTTTATTTGTTATCTTATCAAATACTATACATGCCAAAGTGTGTTTGTATAATTTGTTATCTTATCACATCTAAACATCTGGACAAATCTTATGTAGTTCGATGTGGAGGTACATAGATAGAGTCTGCTTCGTTATGACTTGTCTTTTTTTTTAATTTATGCTAATGCACTCAAATGGTACAACCCTAAGTATTCAAAATTCAACTGTTATTAATATTATACAATTTTATATAATTTAATTAATTTAAATTTAAAATTTGTACAAATATTTGTAAGTTTTAGATAGAGACTTGTCTTTTTTTATTTTGTTAATGTATGATAACGGAATTGTGTATTCGCCTAAATTTTCAAAATTCAACTGTTGTTAATATATGCAATTTTTTTATTATTACACTTGGCTTAAATTTAAAAATCGTACAAATATTTGTAAGTTTCTTATTGTTTTTTTCGATTTGTAAATAATCATCATCATTGCCTTGCCCTTATCTCATTATTTCGCGTCGGCAATATATCATTTTCCACTCGACCCTATCAGCCGTCATATACAAGGAATAGCTTGTAAGATTAAATACATACTTTTGTTACTTTGTCAATATTGTAAGTTTCCTTGTGAGCAGTAGATAAAGATTATTATTATTATTAATGTAATTGTATCAGTTATCTAGTACCCATAACACAAGCTGAATCTAGCTTTACTTGGGGCTAGATGGCGCCGTGTGAATTGACCTAAGATTATTATTATTATTTTAAACATATCTTTTGATGTGTAAAAATTAACAGTAAATTTAAATGTTTATTAATATTATACAGTTAGAGGTCTTAAATTATTTGGAAATGTTAGTAGCGGGAAAATCATGTAAATCATGCATATATTATTTAAAATCTACGTTACAATATTATAATCAGAAACAAGCTTGTCTCGACCTAAAATTAGTCTTGTTTTAATCAAATATTAACATTATTAATGGTCCAATCATAAGAGATTTTGAATAATAAATTAAATAATTCATATCTCGGTAGGTATATATTTTTTGGATGATAATGGAATGGTGCACCCGCCTGCGCTAACGGTTTACGCTTGCGGGGACCAGTGGAGGATGATAAAATGTACATGAGGTCAGGTCAGTTAGCCCATCGTGACAAATTCTCCAGGAATTTATCACGTTTCCAGGGAAACCGCGTGGAAGTCAACATGATACATTGCTAGCAATAAGATCATCGGTCCACATTACTACCAAAACTCTTTACCCCGCTAGGTGTATTTGAATGCAACGCGATAGGGAGCGAGCCTACCGATATTTATTAGATTAGTTTCTGGTTTTGATATCGATTGCGACAGGGAGCGAGCCTACCTAACCTACTGAGCTGAATATACATATTATTCATTTTAAACCAGCCCTTAATACAGTCCTTTGGTCACAGCTATATTACTGTAGCGCCGGGCAGCGCGAGTGGCGGCGCCAATGACATTGAAAGCATTTCCACTCGTGTTTACACTCTCGCGCTGCTCACTTCCGTGCTTACTTCCCTGCCCACTCGGGCTGATTGTAAATTGGACATAAAGTATCATCAAAATTCGTTTAGTAGTTTTTGTGTGAAAGAGTAACAAACATTCATCATGCAGGCACATTTATTGAATTATTTTTTGGGTTTGTTATCGATGTTTTCTTCAGGTTAATTATATTAATTGAGATGCAAAGGTTTTTGTTGTGAATTAATTTTTAATAATAATTACTTCATAATTATATTATAATCGCGAAAGTTTGTGAGTATGGATTGATAGATCGATGAATGTTTGTTACTCTTTCACGCAAAAACTACTAAACTGATTTTAATGAAACGTATGCCCAATTTACAATCTGAGTGTTATCTGTTTGTTGTGTAGATTTTGTATATCTATTAATCTTCTTCCTCCTTCATGTCGTGGTAGTGAAAGTCTCTGAATACATGATTTGGGGTGGTGTTTTCTGTGTTTAGTAAGGTGGGTACTTAAAATGCGTTGTAAGGTTTTTAAATCTGTTTGTGACCAATTTATTAATTATTATTATTATTATAATTTTGCGTTTGACTTGTTACAGTGCAACACCAACACAGGCGCAGACGCAGTCCGACAGTTACAGAAAGGCGGTGCAGGAGTGTGAATATTACGTCCAGATGCTTATGGAGTTCAACAACATGGGAGACCTGATGCGATCTGCTATGACGCAAGCTCTCATCAACCCACAAGTATTTACTTATTTATTATTTTGTAGCTTACTAATGTAGTTCAATTATTACACCTGTATACTCACTACCTATGCTACAGGAAACAAATTAAGTAGCGACGCCTCATCACATCTTATTATCTTATTAATATTAAAATCGTGGAAGTTTCTGAGCATGGAGTTTGTTGGTTGAGGCATAATTATTACTATTTCACGCAAAAATTACTGAATGGATTTTAATGAAACTCTACTATAATATAGCTTATATCTATGTGCAGAGGAGAATCGTAACTACCAATTATTGAAACAATTAATTAAACACGTTTTGTCTTTAATTTATCTAAGTTACCTACTTGTTACCTTAGGTCTATACACAAGTAAAAAAATGTATTAAAAATGTATATAATGTATAAACAAAGTTTTTAATCTAATATATTTGTATACTAAATGTGCTCGTGGTTTCAGTCGCAATGAAATTTATAGCCTATGTGTTATTCTGATGTATAAGCTATATTACTATAAGTTTCATCAAAATCCGTTTAGTAGTTTTTGGGAGAAAAGTATAACAAACATCCATCCATACTCACAAACTTGCAGTAAGATTATATAGGCCGTAACATCTGTGCTAGGATATCACTGTGTTATAGCTTCTTCAGATGAAATTGCCACGGGTCTCGAAAGGTATAGTTACGACACTGGTTTGTGTATTCTTTATAGTTTGTTAATGTTGATAGTAAATGTTTTATCTATTTGTCTATGTTGTATTACAGATGTACCGTAATCTTGTGGTGCCGCCGTTCCCCGACACAGAATATGGATGCTATATGGCCGAGTCACACAAGATGTATGAGAAGGCAATAGACTCATTTCCAGCGCCGGAACCACCTGACGAGTGAGTATCTTATATATAAAATTCTCGTGCCACAGTTTTCGTTCCCATACTCCTCCGAAACGGCTTGACCGATTGTCATGAAATTTTGTGAGCGTATTGAGTAGGTCTGAGAATCGGCCAACATCTATTTTTCATCGCCCTAAATGTTAGGGGTAGTCCACCCCTATTTTTTTTTATTTTAAGGCAAAACAACGTTTGCCTGGACAGCTAGTTACTATATATGTATATACACACACGTAAGGTTACGCCCTCCGATCGAGCAATTGAAACGGGGATCGAAATTACGACGGCCTGAGCCGAGCTTCGTACCCCTAGTGGTGCCCTCAGACTAAAGTCGTATCCGTCAGTCGGGAGTTGGCCTTCAGCCGCTCCATAAGTTCTTCCGAGTGTTTGGAGTGCTATTTGCACTCGTCTCCTATCGTCCTGTGTAGCGGCCAACAGTATACTCTAATACTGTTGGTCGCTACAGCGTCCGAAAAAAAAAAACATATCGTTACGACTATTCTCATGGGGTAGTTTGTTGTCGACTGCTCATGTCGACCTTTAGCGTGGTATACTTTGAAATTAACATGGCATAGGGGCCTATTGCCGTATCTAGGATTTATGTCTGTGTTTATGCCGGCTGGCGCCAGTGGAGGATGTTAGAATGAGCATGAGTTCAGGTCAGTTCTCATATCGTGGAAAATTTGCTAATAATCAATTACAATGGTTTCCAGGAGGACCCAAGTGGTTTCTCATTTACATAACTAACATTTCTTTAAAAGTATCTCTACATTTGTCTGTGTTTTTCAATGTATTATGTATTAAAATATATTAAAGTATGACTATCAATTCTCTAGTAAGCATAGTACAAACTCTGTTTAGTTAAGTCTAGATGAATATATGTTTATTCAACTTAATATAGGCACTTTTGAATAGACATATTTTTTATTCTACCACTCATTCGGAATTCAGACTCATCACAAGAAGAACGAGCTTGAAACTTGCGTGTTGCTCTTTTAAATAAATGTTGGTCAGAATTACATTTTTAATTTTGTGTGAATATGAACTTTTAAATTAGCAATGTTAGCGTAAATAAATGATTACTTAATTGAGTAACAATATAAATTAGTCGTAGTTATCAGAGTATAACAGTCACTACAAACTTGTGGGTAACAATTTACTTGTTCAGGTAATATAAAAGAATTATAATTTTATTGTGAATACAAACCTCCAAGTAACAAAGATCACATAAATTATTCGTTACGTGAGTAATATAAATAAGTCGTAGTTATCAGAGTACACCAGTCCCTACAAACTTGTGGGTAAAAATTTACTTGTTCAGGTTATTAAAAGAATAATTAGTTAATAAAAATTAAATGTATATTTCTCACATGTCTCCAGCTATAAACACCTGCCCGCGTTGGCGCCTCGGTTGCAGCACAACACGTTACTAGACGAATTTATATTTTGGACATTCAAGTATGAGTTCCCTCAGAATATTGTTTGTTTCCTGCTCAACATGCTACCCGATCAGGACTATAAGGTATCTTTATTGTGTATTTTTTTTTACTTGTCTAGAATGGCAAAGAAGCTGACTGTAAACTTAATAGAATAGAATAGAATAGAAAATAATTTATTCAAATAAACTTAATTTAAGCACTTTTGAATAGTCAACATTTTTTTTTAATCTACCGCTTATTCGGAAAGCTGTCTCATCACAAGCAGAATAAGCAGGAAACTTGTGTGTTGCTCTAATGGTGAGCAATCACCTATCTGATATTAATACGTGAAGAAAAACTTAGTACGCCTGTTCACGAAAATTGCGTGCAATGTAGTATGATATTTGGCATAAATAAAAAAAAGCAAACTTTGATTGTCATATTTATTTATATTTAATGAACAGTCTAAAAAATAAATTTAAAGCTTCTAGCTTTAAAAACGACAATACTTCTATACAAATTTTCATCTTCAACTAATACAGGATTGCAAGTTATGAATTGTCCAAAATATTAAACATGCAACCGAAAAATATTACCTGTTATTTAAAACAAATATAACGGAATCCTGTTAATGTTTTAAATATAACAGGGAATTCTGTTACTTTTATTTATTTATTTGCAGAATACAATGTTACAAGTAGGTCTTACAATATGAATATTCGTTCAATGTACATATTCAGCCTGCTAACAGGCGTGCAAAATTTATATACATTATTACTTTTGTAAATTGAATTAATTTTTAAAATATTTCTAATAATTAAATTAAATTGTTCATATATTAAAATATGTCAAAACTAACAAGGTTTAATTTATATTTATAACAGTTGAAACAGTTTACCAACGAATCGTGCATTGTGTATTGCAGGAGCATCTAACCCGTACGTTCGTGATGCACTACGCGCGTATCCCGTTAGTGCTTGAGGCGGCGTCCGACCCGGACACGTTGTCCAATCGAGTCGTTCACATGTCCGTACAACTGTTCTCCAACGAAGCGCTCGCACTCCGCTGCGTGCAGCAACTCCACCTCCTCCACGTCATGGTGCTCTCACTCCGGCTCATGATGGGCAAGATCCTCGTGCAGAACACACTCCACGATCCAGAAAAGAATTTCCACTACGTGATAGATTGTACGCGCCGCGTTATGAGAGAACACTGCTACTGGCCACTCGTTTCGGACTTTAATAACGTGCTGTCTCATAAGAGTGTAGCTTTACTGTTCTTGCAAGATGACGCGCTCGTTGATATGTGGTTCGAGTTTCTGTCTATGCTGCAAGGTGAGTTATGTTTTTTATTTCACTTTGTATTTGATATGATAATCATTATATGTTTCCTTTTGTGGTTACTAACTGAGCCAAGACTTTGTTAGTAACTGGAATATATTGATTGGCTAACATTGAAAATAGCATATCGATTTATCGTTTCATATGCAAAATTTCACGATATCGCTTGGATGGTTACGACGCCAAGAGGTAGCAAACAAAACTAGTTTAAACTATTATAATCGTAATCTATACATATAAATAAAATTGGAGTATCTGTTTGTAATATTGTGTTCAAAATCTACCCTGTATCATCGTAAGCACAGATTATTATATTAGAGTCCGTTAGTTTTCTGTTCCCGCGCCTTTCCTTCCCCTCCCTTACCTACAGTACTGAACTGACCGTACAGCGGCCTTGACGCGCGCGCGCATTGTGTTGTGAATTAATATAAATTAGAATTAATATAAATCTTAGAACTGTGTTAACCCTATATATATACATAGTACTTTTCCTAACATTTTGCTAGCAGAGAGTAGTTTCCCTAACATATTGAAATAATTGTTTTTTACTACATGCATATGAATATATATACGGTAAATATACCAAAATAACATTTTTTACAATTTTTGTCTGTCTGTCTGTCGGTCTGTTTGTTCCGGCTAATCTCTGAAATGGCTGGACCGATTTTGACGAATCTTTTTTTGGCAGGTAGCTGATGTAATAAGGAGTAACTTAGGCTACTTTTATTTTAGAAAAATAAAGTTAAATTCCAAGCGGACAAAGTCGCGGGAACAGCTAGTAATAAATAAGAATACGGTGTAAATGAGTGTATTTAATGTAATGTATAGAACACTGAGTATTTTGTATTCATTGTTAATTTTGTAATAATCGTTTTTCCTCTCAATGTCTATCCTTACAACGGACGGATGTAAAACAAATATGCGTCGTTTTCAGGCATGAACGTGAACGTGCGCGAGGTGGGCACGCACATCGAGTTCGAGCCGTCGTCATACTACGCGGCGTTCTCGTGCGAGCTGGAGGCGGCCGCGTACCCGATGTGGTCGGTGCTGGGACATCTCACCGAGCCTGCCCACGCGCCGCTCGCTCGCAGACTGCTGGCCGCCGCCCTCACCTGCCTGCACGAGTGGCTCGACGCCGTGCACTTCCCCGCGGCCGCGCTGCAGCGGGTGCGTGTGTAGTGTGTAGTGTGTAGTGTGTAGTATGTAGCGAGCTGCCGCCGCCCTCACCTGCCTGCACGAGTGGCTCGACGCCGTGCACTTCCCCGCGGCCGCGCTGCAGCGGGTGCGTGTGTAGTGTGTAGTGTGTAGTGTGTAGTATGTAGCGAGCTGCCGCCGCCCTCACCTGCCTGCACGAGTGGCTCGACGCCGTGCACTTCCCCGCGGCCGCGCTGCAGCGGGTGCGTGTGTAGTGTGTAGTGTGTAGTGTGTAGTATGTAGCGAGCTGCCGCCGCCCTCACCTGCCTGCACGAGTGGCTCGACGCCGTGCACTTCCCCGCGGCCGCGCTGCAGCGGGTGCGTGTGTAGTGTGTAGTGTGTAGTGTGTAGTATGTAGCGAGCTGCCGCCGCCCTCACCTGCCTGCACGAGTGGCTCGACGCCGTGCACTTCCCCGCGGCCGCGCTGCAGCGGGTGCGTGTGTAGTGTGTAGTGTGTAGTGTGTAGTATGTAGCGAGCTGCCGCCGCCCTCACCTGCCTGCACGAGTGGCTCGACGCCGTGCACTTCCCCGCGGCCGCGCTGCAGCGGGTGCGTGTGTAGTGTGTAGTGTGTAGTGTGTAGTATGTAGCGAGCTGCCGCCGCCCTCACCTGCCTGCACGAGTGGCTCGACGCCGTGCACTTCCCCGCGGCCGCGCTGCAGCGGGTGCGTGTGTAGTGTGTAGTGTGTAGTGTGTAGTATGTAGCGAGCTGCCGCCGCCCTCACCTGCCTGCACGAGTGGCTCGACGCCGTGCACTTCCCCGCGGCCGCGCTGCAGCGGGTGCGTGTGTAGTGTGTAGTGTGTAGTGTGTAGTATGTAGCGAGCTGCCGCCGCCCTCACCTGCCTGCACGAGTGGCTCGACGCCGTGCACTTCCCCGCGGCCGCGCTGCAGCGGGTGCGTGTGTAGTGTGTAGTGTGTAGTGTGTAGTATGTAGCGAGCTGCCGCCGCCCTCACCTGCCTGCACGAGTGGCTCGACGCCGTGCACTTCCCCGCGGCCGCGCTGCAGCGGGTGCGTGTGTAGTGTGTAGTGTGTAGTGTGTAGTATGTAGCGAGCTGCTGGTCGCCGACAGCGTCAGCAATGTCTTTTTTTTTTTCTGGATGATAATGGAATAGTGCGCCCGCCTGCGCTAACGGTTTACGCAGGCAGGTACGGCAGGGCACCAGTGGGGGATGATAAGATGAGCATGAGGTCAGGTCAGTTAGCCTATCGTAACAAATTCACCAGGTATTTATCACGATGGTTTCCAGGGGGAACCACGTGGGGGTCAACCTGACGTAGTACATTGCCAGCAATGGGGTCATCAGTCCACATTACTAACAAAACCCCCCCTAATGTTTTCTAAATGTGTTTCACTAATAATCAAATTCTCTGACATTCAAATTCCCTCTATCACCACGCATAAACCTCAAATTTAGAAGGACTCTCCTAACCTGGCGCACTGCTTCGTTTCTTCTTGCCAAGGTTAAACTGTTGATATATGTTTGGGCGTGTAAGTAAGTGTTGCGTGTGTTGTGTCAGTCGGAGGTGATGCAGGCGTCGTTCCACTTCCCGCTGCACCGGTACCTGGCGGCGTTCCTGTGCGCGGGGGTGCGCCACATGGGGCTGGCGGCCGCCGCCGTGCTGCCGCCGCCCGACCTCCTCGCGCTGCTCGCAGTGCACCCGCTCCGAGTACAGGTCAGTCGCATCTCTACCTTCTATCCACCTCCCGCACTTTGCTGGGCCTCATGGTTTATGGTACCTAACGTACGTCTACACCGAAGGCGCGATTAAAAATATTACTTTACTAAATATACGTTCAGGTAAATAAGCCGATGATGATTCTGTGTATAGTTTTGTAGCTATATTTCTATACTAATGTCGAAACACCGTTATCGTTTAAACGAGCTCCTCGCATTGCTCGCCGTGCACCCGCTCCGAGTACAGGTCAGTCGCATACCTACCCACTATCCAGCTTCCCACACTTTGATGGGCTTCATATTTTATGGTAACCTGACGGTATGTCTACACCGAAGACGCGATTAAATATATCGTTTTGCTTAATATAAACATTGATAATTCTCATACAACACAAATTGAAATATACATCATCGTTTAAACGACCTCCTCGAGCTGCTCGCCGTGAACCCGCTCCGAGTACACGTTGGTCGCACGCCTACCCGCTATTCAGTTCCCACACTTTGATGGAGCTAATATTTTAGGGTTACCTGACGTACAGCAACATTGAAGACGCAATTCAAAATAACTTTTTTGCTGACTATAAACTTAGACAATTCTAAGTAAAAGCCGGTGATACGCTTGCACTTTCTATATACCGTTTTGAAGCTATATTTCTATACTAACGTCGAAATATATGTAATCGTTTAAACGGCGTTTTTTTTTCAACGATATGATTGAAAGACATGTTTTAATAACTTAAATATACTAAGACCGTAATTATTATTCTTTATTCAAATAACGTACAAATATTACAAAATTTATTATACATTGGACCCCGCACTGGGCGAACCTGTATCGCGGGAGTCCAGAAAAGAATTGCCAAATAATTATTTACTATTACAGATCAGTGAGTTTGACATATCAGACTAATAAAGATTTCATAAAAACACAATTGTTGACTATAGAAAAATGAAACAAAATAAACAGAGAAAATAAAATAAAAAAAAAATTTCAAGTTCAACATCATTGTTCTTATAAATTATTATAAATTAAACTTTTTAATGCTTTCCTCATCTGGGTTATGAACAATATGAACAATATGATCTATACGTAGGCAGAGATGACCGCCGCAAAAAATCCCGTATGCTCAATTTACGAAACACGATAAAATGCTAATTGGATTTTTTCAGCGCTGACTTTGCATATTTCGAATCTATTTTAATACTTTGAAAAGCAACTTCTACACTTGTTATTTTATGATTTATATATAAACAATGATTATATAGAAAAAAAATATATTTATTATTTGTTTCACGTTTGGTTACAACTGTACACTTTGTATAATGGTATTGCTATTTCATCGTCATGTGCAAGACAATATTAAATTACGTATTATTGTTAGTAACAGCTTTATGTTACTAACAATAATTTACCTAATCATTTCGGAGATATATGTATATGTATATGGAAGAATACAAAGACTGTATATTCCTTCTAGAATATTCTTATTCAACTGGTCTCTTAATATCAGAAATTATAGTAAAAATAACAATTAGTTTACATAAATTAATATTATATTTTATATCTACTTAACGATCAATAATTCTAATGAGTGACTTAGACACATGTATTAAAATTGTTTCATATCATTAACTTACAAAATTTAAAGCAATCTTAATATCTACAATCTTAACATCATATGCACCTCAGAAATATGACTATGCGTTAAAAAAGGAACCTTATATTTACTTCACAAAATGCGCTTCGTGAATACTAGAATCTAATGTGAGTGTAGGTGCCGGTGAGTTTGTCGTAGTGGTGATAAACAGTGGAGTCTGCGTGCACGTGGTTGGTGTAGTTGTAGGTGAAGAGTTTGAGTGCGAGGAAGCCACCGGATCCGGGCTCCGCGCGGTGCATCACGCCCGCGCCGCTCAGCAGCGCGCCGCCTGCGGGCATGCACACGTTACCTTTCAGTTTTCAAACTACTCTAACGCTGTCGGCCGCAGCTGGCTTTTACAGCTTCATCAGGCGATAGGGAGCGAGTGCAGATGGCACTCCAAAGCCGTGGGACTACTGTACCGTAACTTTGCCTGAGGGCATCGCCAGGGGTTTGAAACTCGGCTTAAGCCATAATTTCGATCCCTGTTAGAATTGCACGGGGTGTCTCGATCAGACCCTGGGGTTGTCGGTGACCGGTGTACGGTGACACGAGTAGTAAATAGGCCTATGTTAGTGAGTGAACACCTCCCATTCAAAAGCGGATAAATATTATGACAGCCCAAGACGAGGCTCCAACTTCCAGTGGCGCTGTCACATCAAAGCTTTATCCATCAGGCAGGAGTTGTACTTCAGCCGTTCCATAAGTCCTTCGCGGGTTTGGAGTGGTTTCTGCTCTCCCTCCCATTTTCGTTCGGCCAAATGGCAGCTGCGGCACGTTAGTTTTCATTTTAAACTACTCTAATGCTGTTGACCGTAGCTGGCCTTTATAATTCCACGGAACGAGTATAGGGGACGAGTGCAGATGGCACTTCGAATCAGCTTTTGGATTGGCACAGGCGGAAGACCTCTCTTATTGGTTAGTACCGTTACCAATTTATAGTACTGATTTGTTAATTCGGATTATTCAGTCAATTTGTAACAACCTAATAATATTTCAGAGGTATGCTCCTGATCTTAAAATTCCTTACACATAGCCGCTTCCAGAAGCTTCTCAATTTTTATAAAATCGTTTGATGAAATAAAGTGAAATGAATACGTACGGCGATACACTTGTATTGGTTGTATGTCGATGAATGGCACGGTGGTCTGAGCAGCGTCAGCCTCGAAGCTGCTATGCGTGAATTCCATGAACTGATCGTGTCTAGAGTTCACTGGAATTGCAGCGGTGCTCAGTGTCGGCAGGGATGGACGAGATAGTTCCAAACGGCTCCTAGAATCCACACATATAATTTGTCATATTTTACTATTACATAGTATAAAACGCTGTCGCTGTCTGTCCGTCCCTATGTATGCTTAAATCTTTAAAACTGCGTAACGGGTTTTGAAGTCGTTTTTTAATAGATAGAGTGATTCAAGAGAGAAGTTTATATATATATATATATATATATATATATATTTTATTTATACCACGTAGGTGCAAACAAGCATACGGCCCTGTATCAATTCGGTAGAACCGATGACACTTTGAGAGACCCAGCTTATGTAAGACGATCACACACGCCAGTCTTTGTGAAAAGATATAGACCAAGCACTACTTACATATAGCCGGATCGTCATATATTCTCCTGGAAGAGCCGGGGATCGATTCTTCCTTGCGTTTTGCTCTTCGGGTTTCCACTTCGGATCTGCTGTCCACTTCAGGTTTCACAACTTGAGGAATGATGATGGTTCATAGGGTTCTTAGGCTTAAATTTGGATTTACGATTTAGGCTTAAATTTGCACTTAGCTACGTTGCAACCGCTGTTCGCATCGAATCGAGAGACAAGACTGATCACGAAAATTGTCACGTGATCAGCTGATTGCTGTTACGATTGCCTATAGTACCACCAGTCAAGAAACGAGTCAGTGATTGGTCATTTCAATTCATTTAGACTGCGTGTGTGAAACGTATATATAAATGAATAAAAATGATGACGAAACAGGCCCATCTGATGGTAAACGGTTACCGTAGCCTATGGACGCCTGAAACACCAGGGGTGTCACATACGCGTTGCCGACTCTTAAGAAACCTTCATATACCCTTCTTGAAAAACTCCATGCTGTAGTCTCGAGAAAACCTCGACAGGTAGTTCATTCCACAATCTAAGTGTACGCGGGAGGAAGCTCCTCTAAATACATAATACATTATGTACACCCATGCGAAGCCAGGGCGAGTAGCTAGTAAATAATAATTCGGTACAATTTACATAGTGTTATATAGTGCCAAGCTAAGCAGAGCTTGATGTGCAAAAAAAAGCACGCTTTTTTTATATAAAAGTTTCCAACCCATTTTCTCGATAAAATTATTTGGTTTCAGGGAAATTTGAAGAAATAAAATTGTTTGTTACCATCGGTACGTTCATACCTTTTCGGTTTAAACCGGTATATAAGGAAACACCCACACCAAAACTAATCAATACAAATGTTTGCATTGTATTTGTATTTATGAGTATGATTGTTTATATCCCCTGAGTATTTTTATGTACTCGTATATTATGTATGTATTTACGAAAAAAAAATTATTTATTTAACATTAATGCAAACAGTACATAAAGTAACAGTAAATTTGGCGGACTTAACACCATGCGGTATTTTCTACCAGTCAACCATAGGTAGTTCTGTGAATAATTGTTGGCGATGCAAAAATATTTATAAAAAAAATCAAGGCATAAAATGTTAAATAATAATACTTATACATGTGTGTATAGTTTTACATTTCTATATATAGAAATACACATACAAGTAAATATATATATATATATCTATGTATTTATATCAGTCGTCTAGGACTCACAATACAAGCTCTGCTCAGCTTGGGACTAGATGGCACTATGTGAATTGTCTATTACAATTTAATACATTTTTTCAGTACATGCTAATGTTTACTTACCTAGGATTTGCGCTTATCTCCGTGTTGTCGTTGCTAAGCCATGTGCTACTATCAATCGACAAGCGGCCAGATTTATAGTCAAATTTTGTCGCTCGTATGTTGAAGTTCAAATGGGCGCCCAGCAAACGGAATCTATACATATAAATATAACTCAAAGGTGACTGACATAGTGATCCATCAACGCACAGCCCAAACCACTGGACGGATCGGGCTGAATTTTGGCATGCAGGTAGATGTTATGACGTAGGCATCTGCTAATAAAGGATTTTGATTATTTCTACCCCCAAGGGGATAAAATAGGGGATGAAAGTTTGAATGAAACTGTCATTTTAAACCGATCGGGCTGAGACTTTGCATGCATAAAGCTACTGTGACAATTATTCTATTCTAAGAAAGGATTTTGATAATTTTTTTTTCATCATTAGTAATGATAATCACCGAAGCCGCAGTCAAAACGTATACATAGTAATAAAATTGGGGTGTCTGTTTGTAATATTGAAATAACCGTTCTTTACTACATGCGTATGAATATAAATGTACATACACCACCAAAGTAATATTTTTAACAATTTTTGTCTGTCTGTCTGTCTGTCTGTTTGTTCCGGCTAATCTCTGAAATGGCTGGACCGATTTTATCGGGGCTTTTTTTGGCATGTAGCTGGTGTAAGTGGTAAGGAGTAACTTAGGCTACTTTTATTTTAGAAAAATTCTTTTATGTTAGAAAATAAAGTTGCGGGACCAGCTAATCTATTAATAAAACAGAAGAAATTGTTAATTAAATTTTGATTGTAATTTTTAATATGGACTTTTTGTGGTAGTAACATGACTGCTAATATTTATTTATATTTTTTATCTTTATAAAATATATATTATTTAAGTTACTCTGTCCGTCTGTCTATCGCGCTTTGACGCCAAAACTGACTGCATCAATTTAAATATTTGGTACACAGATAGTCTAAACCCTGAGAAGGAACATACTTTTTATTGGTAAAGGACATATTTTTTTGTTTGACAAGCATTGCTAAACTAGGTCACCCAAACAATTATTCTAGAGTGTTTTTATTTTTTTTTATCATTAGTAAATAAAAATATAATAAAACGTATCCATCCGGCGCGACGAGGTCGTCTAAATCGATCGCCCTACTCCTATAATTCAAAGTGTGGTAATCAATACCCTCTTCTACATTTCGGTCGGTGTTAGAAAAGATTTTATTGAGTACCCAGTTCCCCTGGCTGACTAAACCTTCTTTGAATAGGGTAGCCTGACTGATTTGAAGGTGAAACATCCTGCCGCGTTTTATAATACGCACACCAGTTACAACCCTGAAAATGTTATGAAAACTTCATTACTGTTTGAAGAATAGAGATAGAAATAATTTTAATTCAAACAAACTTAATATGAGCACTTTTGAATAGTCATACAATATATGTATGTACATATAAAATATATATTTTTAATTACTAAGGTTTCTTAAGGACTGTATACTGACTGTATTATATTTGAATTTAGTTACAAGAGAAACTACTGTCGCTGATGGTAAAGGACATATATTTTTTGTTTGACAATAAAAAGGAACAAAGTATAGAATATATTTATAAAAAAATATAATAAAGGTCTAAGAAGGCGCGTCGTGCACATATATATAAAAAAGATATTTAAGTATTTATATTAGTTGTCTAGTACCGATAACACAAGCTTTACTTAGCTTGGGACTAGATGACGCTGTGTAAATTGTCCAGGGTTATTATTCATTATTGCCTTGCCTTTATCCCATTATTTGGTGATTATTATTATTTCACCGTATATAGTTTATTTTATTTTATTTATTTATATCAAACTTTATTGGTACTTGTACAATAGGCGGGCTTATATTAAGTATGTAAAAAAATATATGTATTTGTATCAGTTATCTAGTACCATAACACAAGCTTTAGCTAGCTTAACTTGGGTCTAGATGGCGCTGTGTGAATTGTCCTGAGATTATTATTATTATTATTATTATTATTATTAATGCTAATATAGTCCTCTACCAGCCAACCATAGGGAATACAGAAATACTCGGAGATACATAACTTGCGACACCGATATTATAAGTATAGTGTCATATTGAATGTATAATATATTGTTGTAAGTTGACGGCCTCGGTGGTCTAGCGGTTTAGCACACCGCCTCACTTGCGATGGTTGCGGCTTCGATTCCTCGCACATATATTTGTATGGGTATGATCGGACTCGGTGTTTTCTATGGATAATATGTATGTATTTACGAATAAAATATATATCTATGTATATGTATTAGTTGTCTAGTACCCATAACACAAGCTTTAGTTAGTTTAACTTGGGTCTAGATGGCGCTGTGTGAATTGTTCTTAGATTGTTATTATATTGCAATAGTATATGCTGGTAGTCGGTCTATTATCCCTAATTTTGATTTTAAAAATGAATCTGTACTTTGGTAACATGTACAAGCACAATAAATAAGAGCCGAGTTTCTTGTCAGTTCCTCTTAGCTCGAATGCTGTCCGAACTGACGGTAGTTTTTGTCATATCATAAGAGTCTGTAATAGACCTACATGAATAATAATGTTTTGATTTGATACTAACTTGTTTGACTGTATATCGGAGGTGGCTTCTCTGAGACTGAAGTAGCGGTCGGAATCTGCAGGGTCGTCACACAAGCACATGCAGTAGGAACAGTGCCAGACTAACCAGCGCCACCACGATTGCACCTGCAGTAATTTAGTGGCAATTTATAACGTGTGACTAATTTTTGTTTTCCATTTAATTAGATTGACAAACGAGGTATTTAAATGGTGGTTTTACATCATAAGAGTCTGTAGTAGGTCTATTGTGAAATCTAATATGATATCATGAATAAAGATATTTTGATGAGTTGAATGACGCGCTTGATGGTAAGTGGTAACCGTCGACTTATATACATGAACAGCGGATCACGATAACATGTGACGCCAGTGATACTGAGGACTGTGTCATGGCTCTTATCCTAGAATTTCACTATCTTATACATAGTTGAATGTTCAGCCACCAAGCAGCATGCGCTGTTTTTCGTGAGAAACTTTTTTTATAACACGATCGACGATACGACTTATCATATAATTGTATTTATTTTAAATCAATGCGGACGAAGTCGTGGGTAACAAACAGCTAGTACATAGAAAAAAACAATCAGCAGTTTGCATGCCATTCAAGAATCATAAGAATATTAAAAAAAGAAATGTATGCTGGGACACAATTTTATTTTGTTGGTAGTCAGGTGCTTATAGATTAGTATTGCGACCTGCATAGATCTATTGTGCTCGCACTTTTTTTTTTTAATTGGCTACCTACTACCCTTCAGGGACAAGAATTGAAGGATATTCTTAGGAGCAAAGGTTTTTATCTACTCAGGATATAGTGTATACGGAAAGTATAAAGGAATTTCATTGCCACCAGCTCTCAACGCGACGGTAATGCTTTTTCGTGACCGAAAAATCCTAATACACTTCATCTATATAGAAGTTTATCTAAAAAAACACAGGGGTCCACCCAGACCGACACACACCCAGTCTGCGAAGATATTTAAGTTTAATCATAATACATTTATTACCCTGTACGATTTGCCGTTCTCAACGGAGCAGTTGGTTTCCTTCCCAAGCGTGTGTCCGTTGACATATTTAACCCATTCATAACGACGATTGCTTCGGTAGTTCTGAAAAAAAAGGTCTAACTTTATAACAGTAGTCATAATATATAGTACAAGATGTTAATGTAAACATGACACTTACAAAATCTGCTTATATTAGGGTCGGGAACGTAGGTAACCTTTTGGCAGTTACGACGAAAATCGATCCCTCGAGTTACTAATAAACATTACATAATATATATATAGTAACATTATATGTATACATAGTATAGAATAATTAGGTATATCATATTATACTGAATAAATAATTTTTTTTTTTTTTATCTCAGGACAATTCACACAGCGCCATCTAGACCCAAGTTAAGCTAGCTAAAACTTGTGTTATGGGTATTAGATAACTGATACATATACATCAATATACATAAATATAACGCAAATAACCTAGGCGGCTCAGTACAGACTACTGCCAATAATTTCCATTGCCGATCCTGTGGTAGGCCATGCCATTCTCGTATCGGTTTATACAGCCACGAAAAGAGCTGTTCACAGACCATTACGCTATAAATCGTCTCTAACAGACGCATAGGCGATTATATATATATAACGCAATACACTTATTACTCGATTTGATGACTCACGAGAAAGTTACGAGAGCTATAGTACGTTTTTGTTATTATATATTGTGAGTGCGGTCGGTTTGGAGATAAATAAATAATAGAGACCCACCGAGGTACACACTGTCATGTCCGACTCAACGAAATGACAATCAATAATGTTGCCCTTGCAGCTAGATTGTCGGGCGCAGAATTTATCTTGAAAGCAGCCGTAGTTCTTGGCCACGCTGTAGTAGGAGCACTTTTCAGCACATGAATTATCCTTAGTCATGTCCACCTCGTTCTCTATATAGCCTTGCAGTAGACGGGTTACCTCGTCGTAGGATTCACCTGTGAAATACGTGTTATGTTATAGTGAAACGTTTAATAATCTTATATATAAAATTCTCGTGTCACAGTTTTCGTTCCCATACTCCTCCGAAACGGCTTGACCGATTCTCATGAAAGTTTGTGAGCGTATTGAGTAGGTCTGAGAATCGGCCAACATCTATTTTTCATCCCCCTAAATGTTAGGGGTAGTCCACCCGTAAATTTCGTTTTTTATTTTTTAGACAACATTTTTAGTTTCTATTTTTTTATGATACAACATACAAAAATACATACAATCCTAAATTTTCACCCTTCTATCATCAACCCCTATTTTTTTATAGCGTTATTAATTTATATGGCAAAACAACGTTTGGCGGGACAGCTAGTTATTTTATATTATTAAACGTACCAAAACCTAAAAACTATTAAAAAGTATATATTACCATCCATATAATTCGGACTAACATGTAATATATTTTTCGTCATAACTGCCCAATAATGCATTCTGTATACCTAAAGGATAGCTGGTGGAGACTGCCATACGACATTAAGCTCGCCGTTTTGTAGAAGCTATATTGGACATTAAAGAGTTCAAAAAAAGTATCGTATTCAATGATGTTTACTGAGCATAGCCTATTATTACTCACTAAACGATTACTTGAATGACAAACGTGCATGGCAATAGTAGTTCACGCACGGGTTTTTAACATTTAACGTTAGACATAGATAGCTACAAAAGTAGGTAGACAAAATAAATATACTGATATTTAAAAAAAAAAATTTTGTTGAGTCTTGCCAGTTTTCAATTGAATCTGCGTACTGAACTGGACGGTAGGGAAATATATTAATACAAATAAGTTGATAATTTTTACAAGAAATCTTGATATATCTCAGATCGGATAGTTAGAGGTGTTGAAAAGTCCTCGTCCTGCGAGGAATTTAACCTGCAGCCGGCGGAAATAAAGCGGTGTGCTAAACCTCTAGACTACTGAAGCTGTCAATGCTTATTGTGTACAATACCTTGTGTATGTCGGATTGGGTCACAACGGTACAAGTCGCTTTTGGCATGAGATAAAGCGATTCTGGTCTCGTTTGCTGTCATATTTGTACCTCGTACAAAGTCTCCTCTCGCCTTAAGCGCCACTGCCGTTACGTCGCCTGTAAATTTAAATGTATGTATTACATCTTCACACACATTGGCCGTGTATCAAACCTGTAAAGTACTTAATACATCTTTAACTTTGTATTTATTGCTTGTATATATTTTATTAGTATTGTATCTTTTTAACCGCCATCTAGTCGGGGTTGGCCAGTCAGGCAGAAGTTGGTCTTCAGCCGTTTCACAAATCCTTCCGCGGGTTTGGACTGCCATCTCCACTCTCCCCCTATCGTTCGGTGAAGCTATTAGGCCACCTGCGGCCAACAGCGTTAGAGTAGTTCGAAACAAAAAAAGACTTATACAGTATATAAATTTGTATTTCAGGGAAGTCGAATGCTATTAGAACTCCTTATACTGCTAGATATCCATCGTTAATTCGGTCTCCTCTAATTATATTTTTGAATGTGCGTCCATTTTCATAATCAATCATCATCATCATCTGCTTCTTCCTTATCTCATTTATTTTGGGTTCGACGTATTGCTTTTCTCTCCCTTTCATCCTTGTTCGCAGTCATCTCTTTAGTTACTTTTCTTTCTTACTATATCATCTTTATAATCAATACCTTCTTTAAAACGTAGTCTTAACTCCTGTCTGAGATCTTACATAATAATATCTGAAATTGTGAACCGTGTGTTGGAATTGAATAATATAAGTTGTTGTACCTGTTTCGAAGATCATCTTCAGCATCCATGAGAACTGCATCATGGCGTAGGCTTTGACCTCCGCCACCGCTACAGTATTGTACACGTCGTAGATGAGCTGGTGAGGTGACACCTGCATTTCGCACAGTTGCGACCGATTGAAGTACAGATGCTGCGCCTAGAACACAGCACATGACCACTATGTAGTCTATTATCTATATATATAACAATAAACAGGGTTTCTTTCACCATTCCAAGTATAGGTAAATGCCTTTTGGCTTAACCTACTATCTCGGCGTCTTTTCCGGAGGCTACCCGGGCCACCGAAACGAAACTATTGCTTTTGATGGCTGGGGTATCTTCTTGTAACTTATTATTAACTTAACCTAGCGCACTATGTCCTTAATATAAATTAAATTAAATTATGACTTTTCCTCAAAATACAGCATACTTAAAAGACCTACTACTTATCAGGCCCATCCCTGCCCTTTAAATCAAAACTATATGTATATTTTCTTGGTTCCGTGTGTGTTTGGTCTCAGTTTAGTCCCCGAATTTAACATTTGGCTTCCAAGTTATATCCGAACTCTGTTCAATGCCTCGTTCTTAGGCGAAATGTTCGGAGGAAATATGGGCGTAGACTCAATAATGGTCACCAATAGAAATGTTCGTAACGCTTCTTGTAGCGGTTATCAGGTTTCCGTACTGAATATTTATAATCACACACAAACTAATGGTAGGGGAGTTAAACAAAAAAAAAACCATAAAGTATGATAAAGTTAATCAGTAAATTGTTGTAATACTTACTACTGCATACATATATAGAAAAATATATTTTTATCGTACCATCAATCCTATCTTTTTATTTATGTTTACTATATAATCTACTTTATCACTGTATAAAGAAAATAAGGGTACTGTATTTTATGGGTGTTCCCCTATATACGACGACCTAATGTCTCCTCGATTTCGAAACGATAATATTTGCACAGGGCTTACCATCTATTTACGACCGCTCTGACGTATATTATTATAGAGGTTATTTATTATTGTACCTATGGACTCGATAAACACATTTGTTACATACGTTTTCAGTTAAAACATTTTATAGGTATACTCCACTTTTACACAATTAGTTTTAAAATGTAATTTGTTAAAATAACACAATGCTCGTAAATAACAAATCATAATTTATATTCGTCTACTTGAATAAATGAGTCGCACCTATTTCAGTCACCAAATTTGCTTTGTGAACTATGTTTCGGTTTTGGAGTGTAAATTGGTCACTGGTTATGATGCATGAAGCATCTTATTCTTCTGGAATGCCAACGCATGCAACGACTAACGTGGTATCACGGGCGTTACATGATAACGTAATGTCCGTGGTGCTACTAATGTATGTAACAAAAACCTTTTACCATCAAGTGAGCCGTCATGCGTTTCAATTTCGTTCGTTCAATCAAATTATATAAAAAACTGAAACTTTTCACACTTTGCATGAATGATATAGTCAGATGTGATTACAATTTACCTGCAAAATATTCTGGTATGTCTTCAACACCGACCCTTGAAGCTTCGATATTACTTCCGACATGGGTGCTCTCGTTCGATTAGTAAGTACATTCCTTATTAAAGTCAAGCACTCTGCCGAGCTAGTCGACCCGGCGCTCGGCTCCGCCCGCCTTCTCATATACTGCAGGAACGTTCTGTACATCCCTTCTATACGCTGTATCTGTAGCTGCGGCTGCTGCCACCACGAGCTGCGCAGTGCCGGGGCCGGTGGTCGCGGTGTCTTTTGTATCTCACCGTTAAACTTTACAAACGCTTTAGCTAGTTCTATGTCGGCGACGCCTGACGTACGCCAGCCGAAATTATTTACGTGCTCCCATTGTTGCCATTCTGTTACATAAAATTTGCTTCTAATTTTGTCAGCTGGTGACAGGCCGTATGTAGGCACAAACGTAAACAATCCTATCAGCCATGATAACTTCATAGTTTCGCGGAATTGTTATATAAATGTAATAGCGAACCTGCGTACGGGACGCATTACGACGGCGAAGTGTTGGCGAAGTTCGCAGTATTTTGGGGGGATAGAGACGTTCGTATACCTGCCAGATATCGATATCTATTCATTTAAGTAGATAATACTCATATAAGTATCGATACATTTAAGATTATTATATCTAATCTATGCAAGTACCTGGCTTCATGTCATTGTCCAATTTTTTCTAATGACCTTTTCTTAGGTCAGCAGCAATCGATTATTATCATTTTGCAATTTGAATGATTTTATAAGGCATTAGGTATCTGTTAGGGAAAATCTTGGAAGCGTGTGATGTTAATGCCAGTCCTTTTGATGATCCGAGGGTTTTAATGTTCTTCAGTACGTATGAGGGTCCAGCACAATGTCACCCTTTAAGCACTCGTTTTTAATTATATGTTAGGAACGTTCTGCGCGCGTGTCGGATCGTAAGGTATGATCTTTTCAACTGTCATGATAGGAAAAACGGAGGGTATGCAAAAAATGCCTACTTATATTTTTTAACAATCAATACAGTGAGAATACTATCGATTCCATACTAAAGAATATTTGTTCCGATACTGGGTAACTGTTCTAACATTGATCTGATATGTACTTGCTATCAAAACCAGAATATCGAATACACGTATCGGAACATCCCTACGTTGGCGATCGCTTGCGCTAAGATATCCATTTCTGTGAAAACTCGTATGGTATAGTGATACTCCAATTATAATCATCGATAAAGTTGGATTAATTTTTGATTGACTATCCTCTGTCTGTGCCCTAAAATATCTTTTATTTACATATTTATACACTTCAAAAGCTAGTACATAATTGATAAAAGTGTACAAGTATCCTGCTTTTTATGAAAATATTTTGCATTTTATCAAAATGTAGGTATTTGAATAATAAACGAACCAATTTTTGATTGGTAAAACGATTTTACTGTTTTGCCCAGTGCCCTTTTACTGAAGGATAGATAGAAGGGTGCAACTGCAGCAGAATATAAAATAATAAATTAGGAACCAGACGTTCCTATGGATATCGATTAGATTGATTGTGTGGACACAACAATCGCAATCATCAAACATTTGCTAATTACTAATTAAAAGATAATTATTATTTCAGCTTAAATTTAATTATATACTGTACGGGCAATACTTACTTATTGCATGATATACTTTTCATTATTTATAGCATGCGTCTAAAAATCAGTGTTCAGGTCACATTCACATTCATTTACCGAAACTCCTCATCATCTTTTCTCATGACCATGGGGTTTTCAAGAAAGGTTTCTAAAAAGTCGGTACCAAGCACGTGACACCCTTGGTGTTTCAGACGTCTATAGGCTACGGTCACCATTTACTGTCAGGTAGACCGTAAGCTTGATTGTTACCATAGTAATATTAAAAAAAAAGCATTTAGCACAATCGAATTCAGACTTACAACCCCAAAAATAATCCACATTATAATTTAAATTCTGAACACGTTTAGATTGTTTTTTTAATCTCTGTATCCTTATTCTTTTACTACAACCGAAGATTCTGATACAACAGCATGTTGCAATCTTTTTGCACTTTTTTATATATTTATTTTTGTATCAATATTGAATGTCTTTGTTTTTTAGTTTTAAGAATTGTCACATACATTATTTTGACTTTCATCACTGTTAACGTTTGCTATGGACTCCATATCTTCTCGATGGCTACTTAAAAGCTGCTGTTTGTAGTATAATATTATACATAGCACCTTTCGTACCTACATTATAAGGATTTACCATTTTTTTCTTTCCGTTTCGTTCTTCATCATCAATATTTGGTTCTAAAAAATTGATATGGAACAAAATAGCTATGGAACTCCATAATTCGCAATACACCCAATCTGAACCGATTTCATGAATTGATAAAGATAACCTCTATACTGAATACAATCGTTGTTATATAACAGAAGTTTAATGTAGGGCCTTCCTATTCGACGCAAGTATCTATTGTAAATCATTATCACATTTATGATAAGTAAGTACAGTCTACCTCAACTATACAGGTAGCTAACAAGCATATGGCTCATCTGTCAGTAAATGCTTACCATAGTCCGAAATAGTGTGCGCATTGCCGACCGTTAAGAACTACTTTACTTTCCCTTTTTTCTCTAGACAAAACCTCATCAGGTTATTCTCCGTAGAAACCACCGTCTGCATATCCACTTAGGTTGAAATTCAAATTCAAAAATCATTTGTTCATTTTAGCGTCAATTGTTTTATATGAACGTCAATCGTTAATCTTCCTAAAATAAATAAATAAATAAATATTACATTTTTTCCCCACGGTTTGGTTCATACGTTATTAAACAAAAAACTGGAAACTATTATAACTATGAGAATATGATTCTCTAATTAATTAGAACTTCGTATCACATAGGTCCTCTGCCATTCTATTCTTTTAAATTTTGCTCGCTTCAACCACATTCAATGAAATATTTAATAGGCACCTAAGAACAGCTTATATAAAAAAAAATATGTGACATGTTTAAATTTTTCCGAGGATTTTTAAATGTTTTCGATTCTTAAGAACCTTCCTCGAATTTCAAGAAAATTTATAAAAATAATATGCATAATTGGTGTTGCCGTTTTCTCAGTTTTGCAAATACACAGTCACTTATAAACGCAATTGTTGATTAGTTTTTATTTGATAACGTTGCTTATAATGTACTGGCTAGATCCTAAATTATTGAATACATTTTGATAATACCCACAAATGAAGCCGACTGTATGCCAATTCTCTGAAACGGCGCCCAGCAGTCCCGCGTGAAGTATCCTTCGTAAGTATTATCACACTCTCTCGAAGTGACGGTGATATTATGTCCGTGTGTATGTACAGTAAGTGTTATCGTTTACAATTATAGTATACTTTTTTAATCTAAAATATTGTCTAGTACCTAGCTAGTGTCTGGCTCTGGGACTTCGGGGACTTCCCTATTAGTCCCGAGGTGTTTCTCCTACCGATCTATAACTTCTAAAAAGTTAGCTGCGGTTCCGAAAGGTGGGTTGTGGAGCAGAGACATCGCAAACATTTCCTTTTACTTAAAAAATTGGCAGATGATAGTTTATGCTATTTTGAAATTGTCAACTGGCTGTAATGTGGTGGAATAGCCGTCAGGTATTTAATTACAATAGTGAAAATTTGGCCTTTGATAGTAATACTCGTAGACTTTATACGCGATAAATTTAAAATACATTTTAAGAATTCTTCAAATAACCTTATGCCAAATAAATAAATTTAAAGTTTATTAAATCATTTTGGTGCTCTTATTATACCACATTTTTCTGTTTTATATTAAAGTTATAATCCTTTTTTGTTCCCTTGGTCTGATCTGTTATTTTATTATAAGTAGTAAAGTAACCTTATGCCGAATAAATAAACAATTTTTTTAAATATTTATTAAATAATTTTGGTGCTCTTATTATATCACATCTTAATCGTATATCACATTTTTTGTTTTATATTAAAGTTTTGTTCTCTTATTCTGTTGTGTTATTTTATTATAAGTAGTAACAGTATAGTAACAGTAAAACTTTATTAAAGTTCTCACATATTGGTCTCGCTAATCTAGTGGTTTAGCACACCGCCTTACTTCCTTTTTGCGACTATTTTATGGTTTTAGTAGAAATTATGCTATTCCTGCATTATTTTAGATTTAGATTCTAAAATAAAGCAAAAATAGGAGAATTTTCTTCTAAATTGTGGTAGGACTTTAAGTTTAAGGCTATAATGGATAGAAGCGTTACTCAGGGCTATGTTACACGAATGAAGCCGAGCAAAAGTTGCAATTTGTAACAAAAACGATGAAATTATCATCATATGCTGTTGATTTTTAGCTTTTATAAATACCTTTAGTTTTATAACCAACAGGGACAATTTTTTTTTTATAGCTGTGATACTTATTCTATATCCTGCTTCCGGTTTTACGTCGACATTTGGGACAACCTACATGAGACATTAAAATAAAAGACTTTTCTTATTTAATTATAATTATAATATTAAATTTTATATACAATTTATATACTAGTTTTCTATATATTTTAAATTGGAGTTTTGATTTTGGACTTTATTGGAGTAAGCTTATATTAGTAGTAGTTCAGACTCGACGGTCTCCATTGGTTGTTAAGCCCTGGTCTCTTTTGAAAATTCAGCAACTGAAGAGTGTAGTCAGGACGTTGTTCTAAAGTAGGCGTGCACGTGGTTCGTGTACTTATAGGTGAAGAGTTTGAGTGCGAGGAAGCCACCGGAGCCGGGCTCCGCGCGGTGCATCACGCCCACGCCGCTCAGCAGCGCGCCGCCTGCGGGTATGCACACGTTACCTTTTAGTTTTCAAACTACTCTAACGCTGTTCGCCGCAGCTGGCCTTTACAGCTTCACGGAGGGAACGGGAGCAGATGGCATTCCAAACCCGTGTCGTGTTGTACTGAGGCTACCGGGGACCAGTGTACTATGTTTCGATTAGCATCTACGCCCATATTAGTGAATAAACCCCTCCCATTAAAACCTAGTGGCGCCCTTAAGATCAAAGTCTTATCCATCAGGCAGTTGTCCTGCAGCCGTTCCACAAGTCCTTCCACGGTTTTGGAATGCTCCCATTTTCGTTCAGTCAAAGGCCAGCTGCGATTAGAAAATTCGAAAAAATAAAGCGAAATAATTGGCTGCTTTAGTTTCTGAGAGGGACAGCATAAAGTTATAACTGACGTAATGTATTGCTAGTATTGAAGCTAGAGTCTACTATTAAAAAAGGGACCAAGAGTTTCTTGTGACTTTTTTAACTTATCGACTGTTTTCTACACTGGGACTGACACTGACACCCAGCTTGGAATGGGGTTTTGCATTAAGTTTATTAAATTAATTTATCTTGCACTGTGATGTTCTTTGTTTCCTCTAATCTCCAATTACAACATCATAAGAATTAGAAGAAATTACATTATATTGTATTCCTATTCCGTCACCAATGATAACCTTAAAATTTATTAAACGCGCAATTAGGTTTCTTAAGGTTCTGCAACGCGCACGTAACACCCCGGTGTCTACGGCGTACATAGGCTACAGTAACCTTTGACCATCAAAATACATACGTTAATAATGGTTCTCCGTTTACTCTATTTCATAATTATACTTTTAGTATATTTATGAAATAGAGTAAAACTGATACTTACGGCCATACGGCTGTATTGGTTGTATGTCGATGAATGGCACGGTGGTCTGAGCAGCATCAGTCTCGAAGCTGCTATGCGTGAATTCCATGAACTGATCGTGTCTAGAGTTCTCCGGCATTGCAGCGGTGCTCAGTGTCGGCAAGAATGGCCGAATTAGTTTCAAACGGCTCCTAGAATCCACAACCATTTACTGAAGTCAAAGTGTTGTCTATGATATAAATACTTCAACCTTTTTGACAAACCGTCGTAATAAATTCCTGATGAATTTGTCACCAACAAATTTGTGGACTAACAGACCTGAACTTATGCTCATCTTATCATCCTCCACTGGTAAACCGTTAGCATAGACGGGAGCGCCCTTTCTTTATCATCCTATTAAAAAAAACTTCTATTAATTTCTTGTTCTATTGATTTAATATTTTTATTAGGCATAATTTTAAAAGAAATATTAGCATTCTGCACTCTTCTATGTAGTAATAAGTGTGCCAAAATATATACTCCTACGTATGTACAATTTCCGTAAAAAGGGGTACGAAGTTTTTTCTTCACCTCCAGAATAGGGTAGTTGTTGTGTTAAAATTTACAAAGAATCTTTCGTACCATTTGATACTTACCTGGGAGTATTGCTTGCGTCTGTGTTATCGTTGCCTATCCATATACTATTGATAGGCGTCAGAAGGCCGGAGATGAAGTCTAATTTTGTTACTCGTATACTCAGGTTCAAATGTGTGCCCAGCAAGCGAAATCTATTAAAAATGCCACCACGATTAGTTAAGTGAAACCTTATATTTTTATCAGGTAAAACATTGAATATTCGTGTCGATTTTGGGTCGTAAAATAAACACTACAGTCCGTAGCTAATGACGTTTCTAGTGTATGTCGTTTTTTCCCTTGTTATTTATACGCTGTCCTTCCATGAATTCCATTTTAGTTATATTTCCTTGTCAGTATCATTGCTCCCACTTGTGCCATGGTATTTAACAAAGCTTTTCTGTAATGTTTGTTCCTCTTTTACTCAAGAACTGCTTGTATATGAGAATAACACATAATATAATTTAAGTCAAGTAAATCGACAAAATTCTTCAATTTTTCCTAAACCTCTTACTTTTCACAATTTGGCATATGAAGAAGTATCGTTAGAAGCGTTTTAAAAGCATATAGTTAAAGAAGTACATGTACGATAAATTGTTGTAAATACCGAGAATATTATATAACTATGATGAATAAAAATAAATGACATTAATAAGTATAATCACCTTACTCCAGTCAAAACGTATCCATCCGGTGCCACGATGTCGTCCAAGTCGATTGCTCTTTTCATGTAACTCAAAGTGTGGTAATCCACGCCATCTGTCACGTCTGGGTCAGTGTTATGAAATATTTGGCAAGGTACCCAGGACTCAAGATGGACGTGCCCATCTTTAGTTAGTGTACCCTGACTGATTTGAAGGTGGAACATCCTCCCCTGTTTTATGATACGGATACCAGTTATAACCCTGGAAATATTATCAATATTTCATTGTTTGAATACATTTTGCTAATATCTAATGAGAAAATTGCTTTTTGAAAGTATATATAATACTTTCTAATAAGAAATATTATAAAAATGTTCAATTTTTGTGGTTTCATACTGTTATTTCTATTGTTTGTACAGTGTATTTTTTACATTCCCTAAGACAAATTATTTACTTCAATTAATAACCTTATATTCAGTATATTGTATGTTTACTAACTTGTTTTTTTCAATATCGGAGATGGCTTCTCTGAGACTGAAGTAGCGGTCGGAATTTTCTGGGTCGTCACACAAGCACATGCAGTAGGAACAGTGCCAGACCAACCAGTGCCACCACGATTGCACCTGTGGCAATTTACACTGTGTTTTGAGTAGTTATACATATTTGGAGTAAATTGGGGCAGAGAACTACTATGCACGTCGTCGTCGGCGTAATATTTTGTAGTCCTCTATTCGTGATGTTCGCAGTAAGCTCTATTTTCACTCTCTTTCATACTATGTCATCTTACACACAGTTCATTCATTGCTTTTTTCCCTTCATCCGCCTTTAAAAATTGTTGTTTTAAAATTGTTTGAATGTGGATAACATTCAAACAATTTTTTTATAAAAATGTTCTCTTTATTCTTCTGTATTGCATTCGTACCAAGCTAATTGATTATTTTTATATTATTATTATTGTGTATATTATTGTTTACTTGTTTAGTTTAGCCATGTAAGTGGCTATTTATCTGATAGTTATTTAGATATCTACTCATTTAGCCCATTCTAATTGGTTAGAATCATTATGTAAGGAGTATCAACAAGATAATGAAAAAGGTAACAAAAGTAAACACAAATAATAAGCGATAAGGAATCGCATAAAACTGTTGTATGAAATCTAACATAATTATCTAAATGAATGTAGTATATCTGTATTATTATATATTAATAAATCTTAATTATAAAATTTTCAGTATAAAGATGATTTTTAGTATAATGAAAATAATGGCTGGTGAGACCATATTTTGCAGAAATTCTTCATATCTACTTTTGTTAAACTTGACAACTTCTAATCGCTGTTGTAGGTTTATACTGAAATTGTGAAACAAGACAAACCAACAAGCGACAAGCGCCGCAGACCAGCTTTTTCTATTCTCTTTGAGTGGACTGAAAGATGAAGCATCTGTTGTCTGTCTAAACTGGAATATTAAATACTACATACATGGTTTTTATACCCTATTGTTTGTAGTATAATACTCACAACCCATAAATTTACTTCACACTATAGAACGTGGTATTACAGTGTTACATTCGACGACGTTCTTCCGATGACAAAACAAGTTTAGCGCAATTTCTTCTTGTATTTTACTTATACAAAATTCTATTATTATTTTTCCTAATTTTTTTTATGGGACTTATATATTATTTTTTTATGACGCCTTTGGTAACTGTGTGCTGTTCTTCCAGAGGAGTAAGGAATTATGCCTCTGTAATTTCAGTGCTGTTTGCGGCATATTGAAATGAATCGGAGGTAACCACGCAGGCGAGTTCAAAATGAAAGATTCCACTGTTACCTGGGCAACTCCGCGGCCACTTTCGCGCCGTTTACTAATTCTAGCATAATACTTTCATCACCTGTTGCTTTGTTCCTTTGTGAAGAGTACAGTTACTGTCTCTTCCAAGATTGTGTCCATTGACATATTTTATCCATTCATATCGACGATTACTTCTAGAGCTCTGTAAAAAATAACAGTTATTTATAGAACTTTTTGTTTGTTCAAAAAGTGCTCTGGTCCGAACTGGAATTTTAATTCACCAAGAATTAAAATTGCTTACTAGAATGATTAAAAGTGATTAAAAGTGTTCGGATGCTTCAAACCTATAAATAGGAGATGATAAATTAAATAATAGATTTATATGCAACATGTATAGTAATTAATTGTTTAGTTTATCAGTTTTAAGATCGAGCGATCTACTGTATGAAGAGTCGTGACTTATTAAGAGAGAAATTCAAAGAGGCAAATATTCTCTCCGTTGCTTCTCAATTTATATATTCAAATATCCTATATGTTCATAAAAATCTTGACTTATTACTTTTATCCAATAAACAGCAATACTCATAATATTAATATAAAGAGATTAAAAGATTAGATTTAAAGACAAACTTGCTGTCCCCAAGTATCGTTTAGAAAAAGTCAATAGGTCTTTTATGGGAATAGGTATAAAAATTTACAATAAGATACCAAAGGATATATTGGTATTATCCTTAAATAAATTCAAAACATCTGTTAAATCATATTTACTGAGCAAAGCCTATTACTCACTAAACGATTACTTGAATGACGAGCGTGTATGGCAATAGTTTTCATGTTCGGGATTTTCATTTAATGTTAGACATAGACCTATATAAATACCTATGCATTGTAAATAAACTGGATTTTTAAAAAAAAGTAATTCAATTGAGTTCCTTGCCAGTTCTTCTCAATTGGATCTATATACCGAACTGGACGGTAGGGAAAAAAAATTCAAATGTAAAAACTTGCCGTTCATAAGCGGCTAAAATGTCCTACATGAATAAATGATTTTTGAATTAGAATTAGAATTAGAATTTAAAACTTTTGTTAATTATAATTCATGATGTACATACAAAAAAGTAAAAAAAGTGCTGTACATATATGAAATTTTATGTAATTGTTTTTAGATATTAGCGGACTGCAAACGTTTGAATCGATTTTTTTTAATTGGGAAATTAGTATAAAACTTTTTATGTATTTTTGTCCTCAGGTGTACAGTAGATCAGTATCATTAAATATGAAATGCAAATAAATATATGTTATAGTGACTTACCGAGTTCGTCCGCGTAAAATAGTGACCTTAACCAACAATAATAAAATATATATATATATCTGCCAATAAAAAAGTTTCATCGTTCTAGCTCCAAAAATGAAAATTTTTATGGCTGAGTCTGTGAAGGTAGGTCTAATATTTTCTCAACAGCCTAAAAAATAAGTTTGGCTTCTGCTTTAAAAATGTCAATACTTGCATACCATATTTTTCTTTGTTCATATCCATTTTCGTTAATTATATTTAATCAATACGCAAAAAATAAGATTATCTTCAACCTTTAAAAACGACGATACTTCTATATTCCTTTCAATATCTTATAACTTTTTCGGATTTTTGTCCTTTCTCAGGATCTAGATTTTCAACTTCATTTAATTCAGTACAGTAATTTTGGCATTTAAGTGAGACAGACAGACTACTTGCTATGAATATTTGTCAAATATTTATTAAACTGACCAACTGACAAAAAAGCGAATGTAAAAGTTTCATCGTTCTAGCTTCAAATATGACGAATTTCCATAAAAACTTTTATCTGCTATTTTATTTTACCCCTTGAATGGTAACATTTTTACAAATTTAAATGTCATATTTATTTTTATATTATATAACTTCTTTTGAAATTTGGTGGTCCAGTTGGCCAATAACATAATAACATTTTGTTAAATCAAAATAACAGATGTGATATTCTAAATTGCAAACATTCTACTTGCGCAAACTATACTTTGACTCTACTGGTCAGAATGGAGAAACGCGTATTCCGACCCTGAATAGCTCGGATGGAACGGTAGATGTTGTTTCTTCCAAATGTTGTTCATATACATATGAACAACATTTCCTTGGACAACTTCATTCTTAATATTATATATTGTATATACAGTGAACGCTCTTGTCCAAGAGCAGGGTCATCAGTTATAGTCCGTACCAGGATTATATTTATGTATTTATAAAATAATATTGCAGAGCAAACGATTATACATTTAAATTTATAAGGAGACAACGGATTGACAATAATCAGTTGCTCGCGCAATTCGTATGCGCGCTGCTTATACAAATGACATTTATGTTTATTTATGGCATATCAATAGCTACAATATTGGAGATTCAGAAATTTAAAATTTTTAAAGTTAGACTTAATACCACAGTTATAAAGTAGACTTTCCAAAATTTCAAAAGACAGATATTATACTATGTGTGTATTGAATTGATAAAGATAACCTTGTATTTCCTTTTTCAATTACAACCCTTTTTTCGCATTAAAAAGTAGCCTATGATCGGCGTATAAAAAATTAAACAAATTTCATTTAAATCGGTTCAGTAGTTTTCCAACAGAAGACAACAACAGAAAGACTTGCATTTATAATATTAGTAAGGATTTGACTTACTCATACAAACTGTCAGATAGACTCAACAAAATGGCATTCATATATATTGCCATTGCACCGAGGTTGTCTCCCGCAGAATTTATCTTCGAAGCAGTCATAGCTTTTGGCTACTGCGTAAGAGGAGCATTGATTATAGCAAGTTTTTTCTTTGTTCATATCCACTTCATTCTCTATATAACCTTGCAGCAAACGGGTTATCTCCTCGTAAGTTTTTCCTGTAAATTGATACTGATTTTTGTTTTCCAACGACAGTGAAATTGAAACACTATGTCCTTAGAAAAGTAAACCGCTCTAATGCATGAATATTTGTCAAATGTTGACGTAATGAATCCAATTTAATATGTCCTACCTTCTATACTCGGCTAATATGAGTTAATTAATTAAAAAGCAAGCTGACTTCAGAATACTTCAGATATTCGCATACCCGATTTATGTTTCTTTGGGTCGCAACGGTATAATTCGATTTTGGCTTGATCCAAAGCAATTCTAGCCACGTCTGCTGTCTCTGTCGCGCGTTTTTCAGACTTCTGCCTCGCCATACGTGTTTCCAGTGTTATATTTCCTGAAAATTCAAAATTTTGTATATATATAATATGTGCAAATATGTGGTGTATATACTGTCAAGATTCTAGTCCTGATATTAATCTTCTATTTCATTCATGCGCCTCCTACCATCTTTTGTCTTCTCTCCTTTAACAAAAGATTTCTTGTAACAGAAGGTTATATCATAGGCCGACTTTTGTATATAAATATGTCCTCACTTTGGGATCGGATATAGATATAGATAGCATTCCCTTTTTTTTTTAACGTGTAAAATCTTCAAAAGACCGTCACCCCACCGGAGGGAGGGCGGGGCGGTGTGTGAGATTTGTACTCACCAAAAACCACACGGTGTACCTACGAGCGCTTATGCCGGAGCCAGGAGATTCGCATGTGCATTTCCACCCCAGCTCCGACGGCGACGGCCCGCCCTGTAGATGTTGTAGGGCAGGCCCCATCTCGTTATGGTTAGGGCGACCTACTTAGCCCTACTCCATTGTGGAGGCGTGTGGGCCTTTGGATTGGGGTGACTGCCTAGATAGGATTCCCTACGATAACTAAGAGTAATTAAAGAGAATTGAAATCGATTTGTCTACCTCCATTGCAGTTTTAAATTTTAGGCATGATATCCTGAGATTCTAGTTTATTGTAGTCGCCTTGCTTTTATTTCAATTATAACGGCGTATTATTCTCTACCACTGGTCTCTATCAACTGTCGTCCTTAAATTTACTCCCTTTACATGCATATCATCTTTCACTTAGTACATCCATTCTTTCTTAGCTTGTAAAGAGAGAGGCTCTTTATCCACCACACAGTTATTTATATTATTAGTCTCTATTTCTCTGAGGCCTTATATCATAATATCTCAAGTTCTGAACCTTCTATTGAAGTTGGATGATATAAATTGTTGCACCTGTTTCGTAGTTTTTCTTCAGCATCCATGAGAACTGCATCATGGCGTAGGCTTTGACCTCCGCCAGCGCTAAAGTGTTGTATACGTCGTAGATGAGCTGGTGAGGTGACATCTGCATCTCGCACAGTTTTGACCGTTGGAAGTACTGATGTTGCTCCTAGAATATAACACATGATGAATACACTACTGGGGCTACTGTGAGCATTCCTTTGTGTTTTAATTAACATATCATAAATAAAAAACACTATTTCACACAAGTAGTCAGCATAATAGTTACAATTTACCTGCAAAATATTGTGAAATGTACTCAGCGCCGACTGTTGAAGATCCAATATTACTTGAGACACAGCGGTTTTCGGATCTGTCAGTACACTCTTTACTAAATTCAGACACTCCGCCGAGCTAGCCGACGTGGCGCCCGGTTGCGATTGCCTCGTCATGAACTCTAAGAACTTATTGTACATATTTTCAATTTGTTGTATCTGTTGCTGCGGCTTCTGCCACCACGAGCTGTTCAGTGCTACATGCGGTATTTGCCGCGTTTTCTGTTGAACCGATTCAATGTTAAAGAAAACAAACACTTTGGCCAGCTCGATGTCGCCGCCTGACCTGCGCCATTGCTGGTCGTTCACACGCCTCCACTGTTGATCTTCTATTGTATAAAATTCATTTCGGATATTATCTACTGGCGACTGTCCATTTGTTAACACAAATGTAAACACTACTAACGCCAGGGACAACTTCATTATATCGCGGATTTATTTTATAAATTAAATTGCGAAGTTGCGTGCGGGACGCATCGCATTAGCAGAATGTCGTTGGCCGCGTGCGTTAAGACACCCGTATCGGTCTTAGTGTAGTGATAATAAAGTGTAGTGACGCGCAACTCGCTATCGATATGTACATTTGGAATGATTCCCTTCTGTTCTGTTTATACTACAGTGTGTTCTTTATTCTTTTTATTGACTGCTTATAAATGCTTGATGACGTATGTCCTGTTAGTCTAGTAAATTGATAAAGTATATTCAAGCGTGGTAGAATGATAAACACCCAACGG